GACATGGAGACTGGTCGTTGAGAGTCATTTCGAAGGGAGGTTGTTTCCAAGGAGTCAAATGCAGTCCTAATGTCAAGAGACTCAATGATCACTGCTCTTATATACATGTGGATTTCGAACACTAGACTACTGATTCAACAGCTCCTCACTAGTTCCACACGCGGTCATTATTTCCATTTGACATGGAAGTCCTCACCATCAGGCCTTAATATTCTGATACAAGCAGTGTTGTATTTTGTTATTGGTGAGATCCTTCTCAGGTTACTGATGATGTGAAATCACAAGCCAGCCGCTCTGAGAAACAGCGTTTATTAAGGAGACGTTATCTTAGGTGGTCTAGTGTCAGCTACTAGCCTCGATTCTATCACGATTTAATACTCAGTCGTGAGTCTGATGATTGTGGTGCGCTGCACATTGTCGATAGAGCTGGTTCCTCCATTCTAGATTCCTAGGTTGAAGGCCTGTTGATAGCTATGTACTCAAGTGGTGAAGCTCCAAATTTAGAGCTCTGTGCGACACTGACACCAGGTAAGAGAGATAATGACGCCAGAAGTGAGTGGGTAGATATGCATAGAAGGGACCTGTCGAGCTGATAGACGCAGGGGGTATTAGAATCACCCACTGGGGTTTTGTATGTTCTCGAAACGCGGTACATAAATCGTGTGGTTTAAAAGAGTTCTTTGCAAGTGTCTATCAAGCTTGCAATATGTACGAAATAGTAGAGAAGATTTGTAGCTCACGTTGAGAATGACAATTGTCTGACGTTCTCTGAGTTTCGATATTCGATAGTGAGCGTTTCATCCCTTCTGGCTTAATGACACTTTGATCACGAACTTCATTACGTTGGACAGTTGGTTTGCAGGAGTGACGGCTAAATTAGATTGCTTGGGAAAGCACTTTGCATTTCGACGGTGCGAAGCACATGAGTACTGTTGATGATTAATTTCGATTTGGTTAGCTTGTATTTTATTGCACAATGAGGAGATATCGTGTACATGGTGAAGGTTGAATGGTCTTTTTGAGATACGAGATCTGCATTCTTCAGAGTGCCAGCGATAGAAGAGTTAAGGAGGAGTGACGACGTCGTCAATCCTTTCCCCTACTCTGTTTTTGGTGATTTTGTATTGGATGTTAGAGATGTTAGTAAACCTGACATGGAGACTGGTCGTTGAGAGTCATTTCGAAGGGAGGTTGTTTCCAAGGAGTCAAATGCAGTCCTAATGTCAAGAGACTCAATGATCACTGCTCTTATATACATGTGGATTTCGAACACTAGACTACTGATTCAACAGCTCCTCACTAGTTCCACACGCGGTCATTATTTCCATTTGACATGGAAGTCCTCACCATCAGGCCTTAATATTCTGATACAAGCAGTGTTGTATTTTGTTATTGGTGAGATCCTTCTCAGGTTACTGATGATGTGAAATCACAAGCCAGCCGCTCTGAGAAACAGCGTTTATTAAGGAGACGTTATCTTAGGTGGTCTAGTGTCAGCTACTAGCCTCGATTCTATCACGATTTAATACTCAGTCGTGAGTCTGATGATTGTGGTGCGCTGCACATTGTCGATAGAGCTGGTTCCTCCATTCTAGATTCCTAGGTTGAAGGCCTGTTGATAGCTATGTACTCAAGTGGTGAAGCTCCAAATTTAGAGCTCTGTGCGACACTGACACCAGGTAAGAGAGATAATGACGCCAGAAGTGAGTGGGTAGATATGCATAGAAGGGACCTGTCGAGCTGATAGACGCAGGGGGTATTAGAATCACCCACTGGGGTTTTGTATGTTCTCGAAACGCGGTACATAAATCGTGTGGTTTAAAAGAGTTCTTTGCAAGTGTCTATCAAGCTTGCAATATGTACGAAATAGTAGAGAAGATTTGTAGCTCACGTTGAGAATGACAATTGTCTGACGTTCTCTGAGTTTCGATATTCGATAGTGAGCGTTTCATCCCTTCTGGCTTAATGACACTTTGATCACGAACTTCATTACGTTGGACAGTTGGTTTGCAGGAGTGACGGCTAAATTAGATTGCTTGGGAAAGCACTTTGCATTTCGACGGTGCGAAGCACATGAGTACTGTTGATGATTAATTTCGATTTGGTTAGCTTGTATTTTATTGCACAATGAGGAGATATCGTGTACATGGTGAAGGTTGAATGGTCTTTTTGAGATACGAGATCTGCATTCTTCAGAGTGCCAGCGATAGAAGAGTTAAGGAGGAGTGACGACGTCGTCAATCCTTTCCCCTACTCTGTTTTTGGTGATTTTGTATTGGATGTTAGAGATGTTAGTAAACCTGACATGGAGACTGGTCGTTGAGAGTCATTTCGAAGGGAGGTTGTTTCCAAGGAGTCAAATGCAGTCCTAATGTCAAGAGACTCAATGATCACTGCTCTTATATACATGTGGATTTCGAACACTAGACTACTGATTCAACAGCTCCTCACTAGTTCCACACGCGGTCATTATTTCCATTTGACATGGAAGTCCTCACCATCAGGCCTTAATATTCTGATACAAGCAGTGTTGTATTTTGTTATTGGTGAGATCCTTCTCAGGTTACTGATGATGTGAAATCACAAGCCAGCCGCTCTGAGAAACAGCATTTATTAAGGAGACGTTATCTTAGGTGGTCTAGTGTCAGCTACTAGCCTCGATTCTATCACGATTTAATACTCAGTCGTGAGTCTGATGATTGTGGTGCGCTGCACATTGTCGATAGAGCTGGTTCCTCCATTCTAGATTCCTAGGTTGAAGGCCTGTTGATAGCTATGTACTCAAGTGGTGAAGCTCCAAATTTAGAGCTCTGTGCGACACTGACACCAGGTAAGAGAGATAATGACGCCAGAAGTGAGTGGGTAGATATGCATAGAAGGGACCTGTCGAGCTGATAGACGCAGGGGGTATTAGAATCACCCACTGGGGTTTTGTATGTTCTCGAAACGCGGTACATAAATCGTGTGGTTTAAAAGAGTTCTTTGCAAGTGTCTATCAAGCTTGCAATATGTACGAAATAGTAGAGAAGATTTGTAGCTCACGTTGAGAATGACAATTGTCTGACGTTCTCTGAGTTTCGATATTCGATAGTGAGCGTTTCATCCCTTCTGGCTTAATGACACTTTGATCACGAACTTCATTATGTTGGACAGTTGGTTTGCAGGAGTGACGGCTAAATTAGATTGCTTGGGAAAGCACTTTGCATTTCGACGGTGCGAAGCACATGAGTACTGTTGATGATTAATTTCGATTTGGTTAGCTTGTATTTTATTGCACAATGAGGAGATATCGTGTACATGGTGAAGGTTGAATGGTCTTTTTGAGATACGAGATCTGCATTCTTCAGAGTGCCAGCGATAGAAGAGTTAAGGAGGAGTGACGACGTCGTCAATCCTTTCCCCTACTCTGTTTTTGGTGATTTTGTATTGGATGTTAGAGATGTTAGTAAACCTGACATGGAGACTGGTCGTTGAGAGTCATTTCGAAGGGAGGTTGTTTCCAAGGAGTCAAATGCAGTCCTAATGTCAAGAGACTCAATGATCACTGCTCTTATATACATGTGGATTTCGAACACTAGACTACTGATTCAACAGCTCCTCACTAGTTCCACACGCGGTCATTATTTCCATTTGACATGGAAGTCCTCACCATCAGGCCTTAATATTCTGATACAAGCAGTGTTGTATTTTGTTATTGGTGAGATCCTTCTCAGGTTACTGATGATGTGAAATCACAAGCCAGCCGCTCTGAGAAACAGCGTTTATTAAGGAGACGTTATCTTAGGTGGTCTAGTGTCAGCTACTAGCCTCGATTCTATCACGATTTAATACTCAGTCGTGAGTCTGATGATTGTGGTGCGCTGCACATTGTCGATAGAGCTGGTTCCTCCATTCTAGATTCCTAGGTTGAAGGCCTGTTGATAGCTATGTACTCAAGTGGTGAAGCTCCAAATTTAGAGCTCTGTGCGACACTCTTACCATGTTTTTTCTCTTTTATCGCTAGATTATTTCATGTAATCTATTTTGTGTACTTTCCTACTTTTAATTCTTCTATCATATTTTCTTCGTTTTTTGCCCTCTGTCTCTATTCTCCTTGCGTCTTGCAGACGCATTCTCATTTCTTATTTTTTCTGCAGGCCTTGTGTATATTTTTTTTGAATTCTTTTCTCTTCGCTCACTTGAATTTACTCTTTTTTCCCTACCTTTTGTGGTCTTATGAGAATGCTATTTCACGTATTACATTGTCTGATACGCTTTCTTTTCCTTATTCACAGGCTGTATCCATTCCAGTTTACTGGTACACCGAATTTAGTGCACTGGTCGTTTCTGGAACTCATTCGTATTGCCGCTACTTCACGCTTCAAATCTTCAACTTTCTTTTCTTACTCCTCAATTTCAGTGGCTCTACTGCTGCCACCGTTGAGCTCAGTATCTGCCTTGCTACCTTCACGAGCTTAACGATTTAAGTTCATAACCAGCAGTAAAAGTTATTATTTGAGTTCCTTTGACTTGATTTTTATTCACACATTATATTAAATGCTCTCATCTAATACTGAAACATTTTCGTCTAAATGCCTGACACTGTAGATTAATTAACACTGTTTTCACTCAACTATTTATCGATTGTATTTGTTCGCACAGATTCTACTTAACGAGCAAACTACAACTGTTACACTCTTTAGTGATCTCACAAAATTCATCGATGGAAAAAAAGTAGGCAGTTCGAAGGTATAGAAAAAGCTATATCTTCCTGTAGAATGAAAACAACGATACATCTTGCAGAATGCAATATCTTCATTTGAACTCTATTGCCTTCTGTAAGTTTTACTTATGTAAACAACTGGAAAATGGGTGACAAAGCATAGCGAATTCATTGTACTCTGAAAAACGTATTACTCTTATTTATTTGAAGCGAACTAGCCCAATTCACTAAAAATTCTATTTGTGAGAAAAAAAACGAGGTTATTGTGCGTTTACATTTTAATCGTTTACTTCTTTAGGTATTGTTGATCAGTTTGTTTCCGAAGGCTAATGTAGTTTATGAAGGCAGAGATTAGATAAAAAAATTCTGTTCTTCATTTTTGCTTCCTACACATAATAGCTGGTAGAGTTTGATGTTGCAGTTACAATGGCTATTTCAGACACGAAGTTTAGCGTGATTATCCACTCACTAGTCATTGTGTTAACATTCAAATTATTGTCTTTTTCTTTCAACCATAGAGAGTAATGGAAAATAGTGTTTGTTTTTTCCCTCCAAAACACTTTATTTGCATCTTCAATTGAAAATGGCTTCCTGTTATATGACTACTTTATCTAAAAGATACTCCTCATTCTGGAGACCATAAAATAATACAAGTATATCAAGAATATGTACTTTCGATATCTGTTTGGTTTATTTAAGTGTAGCCTCAGCACAGCTCCATGTTGATTGACTTCTCTTGACAACTTACAATAGTGTTGTGTCAGTTAGAAACATGATGGTGTTCCACACTCAGCAGGCAGACCGACAAACATACCTAGCAATATTCAAGCACACGGGTTATCATTCAGCAATCATTTTGCTAGTAGATCTACCTCACGATTTACTACTCATGAGATGTATTGGGCAGATTAGAATAGATCCATGCAATTATGTTTTTGCTCTTATTTCAATTGTAAAATACAGGGAAATTTAGTGGTTACGAGATGGTATGCAGGTCTCAAATCTAGACTATACTTGATTATAGACAGTGTTATCCGACTGAGTTATAATAAAAGCAAATGTACATTAATTTTTTTTGTGTTTCTAAACTTCTCCCATCATTGTATCTCTAAATACATTAGAGTTGACCACTATTAAGCATGAGCGCATTATATCATAAATTAACTGAGTTTTAAATTAAATAATTTTAGATTTCTGGTGTTTCATTTCAGCATTTTATATTAATTTCTACAAATATTTTGCAGCCTGTTTTTGTTACTTTTAAGCTTTGACTACAAAAAAAATGACCGGGAAATCATCCGTTATTCATTCTATAGAATCAGTGACTAAATCAACTACTTAGACCTGTTAGGCATAGCTTTAGTCTTCATTGATACGCGTTTCGAACTTCACTTCACTGAAATCAGTTTATTGTTCATTAATACTGGTCGTTGATATTCCCAATAACTTATTTCTTACTGATAAACACTCTTTCAATTTGTATGGAGAAGTTTTAAAATTACGTATTTATATGGATGCAGGGTATTTCGTCATGTTGTAATAAGGAGAAAAGTATAAATTTTAAAGACAGGTTTAAACAACAAACCTTTATGTAGTTAGGTGGAACAGAAAATTCTGGGTATTAAATGCATGTCTGTTTCCAGTGTGGTGTGCAGTAATCATTGTAATGTCTCATTTTTAACACATAATTTGGCTATGTTAATTAGCGAAGAAATGAGAGAATTGGAAATGAGAAATGTGTATTAAGATAGACATATAAGGGAATAATGTCGCATATGAGGTAGTAGTAAACTTTAAGTGTAAATGCATTGCTACTTGCTATGTTAAAATTTACAAAACAATCTAGATTATTCCATTTCAACAATTCATATTCACTGATTGAATAAATGTAGTGTATTTAAACAGCTATTTGCATGTACTACGTGAATGTTGTAATAACATTAACTTTAATTCTCATCGAAAAGGAAAACAATGAAGTAATTATTATGATGACGATAAATAATATAATAATGAATGTCATGGTAAATGTATTACTAAAAGAAGAAACATGGACAGGCCATGAACAATAAATGACAATTTCTGTCATTGTGCACTTGTTCTCTGTGTGTGCGTGTGTGTTCAATTTATTTCCAGAAGAAATTTATACGTTTTATGAATAGGAACGATACTTCATTAAAATACGTTCCTCACAAATTTATTGGCAGAATAACAAAAAATTGCATAATTTGTGTTATTATTACTATTATTAATAATAATTAATTGATTACTCCTCAGTCGGAAATAAACTACATGTTTCTGTTCACTGATAGTTAGTAGTTGTTCGAGTGTCAGTAGACAATTTATTTCAGAAAACCTTCATAGTTTGATGCTTTCTCAATGTGATAAGTATGTAATTGTAAACAGTCTTTCATTTGTTTGTACATAAATGACTGCGAATTTAAAGTCGACTTCTACCATTAGTATTTTGTACCAATAAAATAATATTTCACTTTGACTTTTTGACCTGAATTTATTGATTTGAATAGAAGGATGAAAAGATATTTTGATAAGCTGCATGATGTGAAGCATCCTTGTCAGATGGGTAATATACATTAGCATCTCCAGAATTATGTAGGTTAGAAGCTGATGGTTGTTTGATACGCCTGACATTGGATAGGATTTTTGTGGATGACCTCATCTTTTCTGGCTGATAAGACATAGAGGGAGATTTTATGCGACTTTGCTGACCTAGTGGGTTATTCAACCCATAATAGTCTGTCTCCAAACGTAACCTTTGTACTCGACGAGTCCTTTTCAACTCTTCATTATTATCAACATTATTGGTGTCACATGATTCCCGCGCAGCACGACGCACAAATTTCATCAACCGTCTTCTCCATGATTCACGCCATGGTAATATTACACTATGAGTATCTAGTAGTAATTCCATTCGATCACCGTATGGAATCTAAACAATTCAAAATAAAGGCACGATTGTTATTATTTGTTATACAGTTTGAACAAGTAAATTCAATAAACTGAAAAAACCACTTATGAACTATGCGTGTACATATGTGAGCTGAAATGTGGGTATGACCTTAAGGTGTATAAATATAATATTCAAGCAAAGCTTTATACTTTTATAGGTCGATACAGTGATTTATGTGTAAGCAATAGAAGTTCAATCGTTTGCGTAGAAACACTCATTTCTTTTAGTGATATCAATAACCAAAGTTATCTGTTGTATGAATATATGACTTATATTTACGTACATTGGTAGCTGACCATATAAAAATGGGTATGCACAAATTCAAACGACTAAACATTTGTGAAAGAGTAAATTTACTCTCGTTTAGATATATGTCTGGATAACTTTTTATGGAATCGGCATCATGAGAGAAGGTTAATTTTGTTCATACATTCATAATTTGTGGTTGTGTTGGCTTTCTGTTTCCAGGATGCGTAGAAAGTTTAGATAGTAAAAGCATACTGTACTTCACTATACAAATTAGCAGCAGTGTAAATGTAAGTCTATTACTAATACACTGCTGTTAGTGATAAGCATGAATAAATGATATCTATAGGCATAAGCTTTTTGAGTAAATTTAGATTAACAACACATGGAGCAAAATAAAACGGATCCATTTAATTTCATAGGTGTCTTATAAACTGTATACAACTTGAATAATGAAAGTTAATAGTTTCATCACAATCCTAACATTCTTTGATATGTTGGAGATAAAATGTCAACAGTAAGAATGACAGTGGTGTATAAGAGAATTCCTTTAAAATAATAAACGAACAAGAAATCTTAAACCTCTTAAAGTCCTCAGAGTCCGTCTCTATCAAAGGGTTAGAACGTGACTTGTGTATCCAGAAAGAAGCTGTAGTAAGTCTCTGTCTACCTTGATAACTCATCTGTTAGTCCTAATTGACTATATCATCCTTTATTTAATGTAAATATTGATTTCTTTTCACTTTTACTTAGTGATATCATTATTTATTAAATGTCATGCTTTATATGTCTGATATCTAACTAAATCAGCTTAATTTACAGTGTATTTTTTCACATTTCATTTGTTTATCAACAATTTTCTAATGACTACCGGAATCTCATAATTTATGTGCCTTAATATCTTCTCGCTACTCTTGCTCTCCACATCTTTGTTCTATTTGAGGAACTTCGATCACATATATATATGTAGGGCAATACCTCTATTTTACTAACTTAACACTTCCATTCATGTATGTACCATGATCATTCTTATTGTTGGCATTTCATCTTCAATGTAGTAAAATATGATAAAAATGCAATAAAACTATTAATCTTTATTATTCTGGTTGTATGCAGTTGATAAGTTAATTCAAACTTTCGTCTTTTTGATGAAGACTGGAATAAACATCGATGAAAAATATTTCTACTTTGGATAATTCAACATTCATCAAACCACACTATTTAGCAGCACATTTTCGGTGTAGAACCAAGAAGCATCTTTATGATAAATTAAACATATGATGAAACTGAATAATTCACCAGTGTTTGAATCGGTAGGTTGAATTTCGAACAGAAATAGCATGTGGGCTGAATAGAATACAGACACAAGCAGTCCACGAATCTTAAACTTGAAGGACGGCATTATTAGCTGCTAGTGAAATGCAACACAAGGAAAGCACGAACAAATATCAAGTCTGTAATCTAATGCTTTTAATAAAAATAATTAAGTAAGAGTACAGTGAAGTTTCTGAATTTTTAGAATAAAGTTATACACATTGTTTCTTTTCAGTAATTGATTGATTATAACTTCTTATTCTATGTTCGCCTTCAAAAATTCATTTAAATATTGAGGCAAATGTCTGTTCCTATAATAATGATTGAGACTTCTGTCGGCCTTGGTTATAAATACACGCATTTTAACCCAAAGTATGAACAAGAAACCCATAGGGTGGAATATCATGACGGCAGTAAGGAAGACTTCCAATTTACGGTTTGTTATTCTTGATAACATGGAGATAACTAATTAATCTTGTTTCGCACGGTTGTGACTACAAATTGGTGGCTTCATGTTTATGGTATAATGTCTAGCTGCTCCAGCTGAGTTACTCAGAATGGTAGTTTTCAGCACCAAGCAAGAGTGTTGGACAGTAAAGGTTATTTAACATATTTAGATTGTGCCAATACCAAGCATGGAGGATAAAGCCATTATACCTTCTCCGATCCAAAGTAAAGTCGTAATTTTGTCCACTTCTTTTTCTATGTGCTCGAATTCACTCCATTTAGGATATAATAGTCTACTGTGATGACAAATGTTTGTAATCCCCCACACAAATCAAGCTTAACTTTTCAATTGGTGCCGTTCTAGTTCATGTCTGAATGGAAGGTACAAGTATAATTCTGTCGAGAGAAGTAAGAAGTTTATAGGCTTCAATACACCACGAATATTGACATCTGACGTATCATACAGTTAAATTCACGAAATATTCCTCATCTATGTTTCTTAAATGAAAGACATAGCGATAGGTACAACGTTTGCACAGAACTACGCTGTAATTTTCGCTCAGCATTTTCAAACAGTAGCTACTAACACCTTCGAAAACCTAGTTAGTTCTCCAACGCGCTTTCACCTAGATCATACAGAGGCCTAGTCATTTCATTTACCATTACTATGTCATGATACCATATATTCAGCCATCTTTCGGTATGACTTCGTGACAAGCTGTAAGTATTTGTCTGTAGAACATTTCTTGACCACCTGAGTTTAGATTCAAAGCTATTGTAACTGAGAAGCTGTCTCATCTTAGTTTACAGATCCTAGACAATAAGTATCCACAATTTCATCTGCTCTAAAGCCCAAGGACGATCAGACATGTGATGAATACTGGAAAGTTAAGATTTTGGTCTAGAACTGAGGATGTAGCACATTGGTTTAACTGGTCGACTTTTAGTTGATGGGTCTCAGGTTCGAATCCTGCCCCGCTTAATTCAGCCTGAGCAACTGGACGATGCTATCAGCTCCCACACAATAAGTATGGCTTATAGCCTGGTGTTTGAATAATCATTTAGGAGTAGCTGAGTTCTGAATGACTAATCTACACTTTCTAATTTCACTTACTATTCACAGGTGGCTGCTGGATTCTATAAATATTTAAAATGCACTTAACAGTTTTTTCGAGAGCACCAAATCTTAAATGAATTTTAAAATAATCTAACTAATTTGTTTTATAGAGTCAACAAAATTCGAGATAAAATTTTGGAATTGCATTAATTCTGTATTCCCTGGAAGTTATATCTCATTAAATCTGTTCCTTTTAGTTGACACTATACTACACCGTTATCTCAACGTGGTACTTAATTTCCTCTTTCAAACAAGTAATGCGATTAAAATATATACGAATGTGCAGGTGTCTATCTTCATGTAGTAGATTTATAGGTTCTGATGTTCTTCACAAAGGAACCTGATATTCTCACTTCTTGTTCTGAATGCAACTATTTCTCCTACAATTTGTGAGATTTTACACATATTTTTCAATAAATACCACACTATTTAAAGTTAGAAGTAATTAATCGACCGCCACTCATTTCTGGGTTATTTCATCAGAGTAATCCCAGTAACAACAGCTCAAGGTTGTTTTTCTACCGCATCTTCTGAAAACGTTTGGCTACAAATTCCATAATACAAGGGATTTGGTTCCCTATAATTGTGGTCATTAAATGGTTGTTTGTACACAGCGAGTTTTTTAAAGTTGACTTTTCGTCACACTACTTCTAGCTGTCATTGTCGTTCTTACAACTTAATCTTCATAAACACAAATTATAGTCCAGTTTCCAAGGCTCTGAGTTTCACTCCGAACATATTTCCCGATGTCACAACTCACTAAATAGTAGTGAGTAACTGTGATTAGCATTTATACTGTTCTCGGTTTAAACAGGTGTTCTCTTTCTATAATCGATAAAGATAGTCAGACTAATCTTTCTCTCATCAAATAAAACTCCTCTGTTTGTTTAGTTTGTGCATGATTACGAATTTACCTGTTGTGTAAGAAGATAACTATTATTAAACTGCCAATAGTTTAGCAATTTCTAGATACAGACTATTCATGAAACCGTTAAAATATTCAGTGTTATAACGACTACCCAGAACATTAATTATAGACCCACATTATTCTAACTATAAGAAGTATTACTTAGGCTTTTATCAAACATACATTTCAGCGTATATGTTAAAAAATGTAACAAGTGATTCCTGTGTACACATGTGTCAAGTGCATTTTGTCAGCAAAAGTGAAACTATGTGCTTGTTGTGTGGCTACAGCAGTGGTGGTAATGGCAGTTAGGCGAATGAGACAAATATGGAGAGACAGTTGTTCGGTAAAATTTATATCTCTTGTCCGACTTCCAAACGTCGATTTTATTGCTGTTACTCATGGGTCTTTGAGAAAACATTTGAAAATTTCCGAGAAGGAATAAGTGAAGTTTCTAAGCATTATGTATTTCATTTGGGATCTTCACTTTATTATTCCAAATATCGACCATTTCTTTGTAGTCATCTGGATATGAAAGTTTAATTTTTTTAGTATATTGAGTTGCCAGCATTTTTCTTCCCCTAAAGTTTATATTTTTAGAATCTACTTATTTGTTGAATACAAATTTTTTAGTTTCCCACCTTTCGTTTTTTAGTATCCAATACTGTAATCAGAAGTGCACGGTGGTGTCACATAATATGTGATATGATAGAAATACGTGAGGATATCGCTTACTTGATCATTGAATTTCTGTCAGTATGCGTAGGAGTAATCATGCTGTCCATATATTCCAGCCTTCGAAGGATTGAATTCCAATGGCTGGTATTTCAACTTTCACTCATCGAAATGAAATTACGTTGTCTGTCATTCTGAGTATTGGACAGTGTTACACTGTATGCATGAAATTAGGGGACGGCCCGATGCTCATGAAAATAGAAATGGCAGATTAT